CTTCTGGTGTGCAATGAAAGGTCTCAGGCATTCCATACTTCTAAAGGACTACAGACCTGTCCCTGTGGCCACTAGGCAACAATTTACTAAAGACGATCACAGTCCTCCAAAGGACACCACTACTGATTCTCAAATCTCTTCAGTCACACTGACTACTCCAGCTCCATGAGCTGCACTGCTTTATGGCCAATGTGGCCAGCCCAGTAAGGCTCCACAAGAACTGTTACAGCTCTACAGGCATGGTTACCCAGACAGCTTCTTAGCCCCTGAGGTCAAAGAAGCCTGTATTGCTGCTTTGGAACAATGCTCCAAAGTATTCTTGGAATGATTGCCCCCAAACCTAAGGAATCTCAAACTGACTCTATTTCTTAGTAGTTTCTTATTTCCTACTTTTAAACTCCCCTCATCCTTAAGCTCACCAACTCCCTAAAAGTTGCTGGGTCTACAGTTTCTTTGCAACCTAATCTTAGCAACAAAGACTAGCACAAAAACACTTTTAACCATTTTATGTTCATAGCTGTGCTGATATGAAGATTTTTACTATAAAATCATCAGGGAACATTAAAGCCATTCCACAGTTTGAAAAGCAAGAAGCATCTTTTTGGAAATGTATGAATAAAGTATTTAAAATCTAAAGAACAACGGGAAGATAAAGCAGAAAATAAATGATGTCATCATTGCTGAAAATACATAATACAGTACTTTTCAGAATGGTAGAAAATACTGATTTTTAAAAATGAGACACAAGGAAAAAGAAAGACAACTTATACAGTGAACATTTCTCTTGCACTTTGTCTCATGTCTTTTTAACAACTCTTTTTTTAAAGTTAGCCTTTTTACATTTTGAAGTGGTATAACTAAGGAGAGGCCACAATGAAAATATAAAAGCACCATGGAGAGACTAATAAATAATAGCTGCACTTTCCACTATGGCTTAATAGGTGTTCATTTATATATTGTATCACTTCTTCTAAGAAAACTAGGAAATACAGGCAGAATGCTACTTAGAAGCAAGGATAGCGAGACTCCGTCTCACATACTTTGGACACGTCATCAGGAGGGACCAGTCCCTGGAGAAGGACATCGTGCTTGGTAAAGCAGAGGGTCAGCGAAGAAGAGGAAGACCCTCAATGAAATGGATTGACACAGTGGATGCAACAATGAGCTCCAGCGTAACAACGATTGTGAGGACGGCGCAGGACTGGGCAGCATTTCATTCTGTTGTACACAGGATCGCTATGAGTCAGAACTACTCAACGGCACCTAACAACAATTTCAGAAAGTGACCCAGAAGAATGAGATTTTTAGTAGTCTCCTCAATTGGCAGAGCGTTCCACTGACTGGAGTGTGAGCTCCAAACATTCCATTGTACATTCCCCATTAAAAATTTTATCATGCTTTTCATATGTATAAATTCTATACATATCCTATTATATAATTTATAAAATACATAAACCAAAAAAAAAAAAAAAAAACAAACCCATGGTCATCAAGTTGATTCCGACTCATAGCGACCCCAAAGGACAGGGTAGAACGGCCCCACAGGGTTTCCAAGGAGCAGCTGGTGGATTCGAACTGCCAACTTTTTTGTTAGCAGCCAACGCTAAACCACTGCACCATGTAAGGTATGCAAAATAGAAATTTCTTTAATGCTGGGATTAAAAATATGGAAATAGAAGCTTTTTTTTTTTTAAAATCCAGAAGATTTTCCCATACTCTCTGGGATGAATTCTATACTGGACCTTTCAAGGTGTTTGGTTTTTAAGAAAAAATAGAAGATTTTGGCCCTTGACATTGAATTTACTATTTGAAAACAAGTCAAACTTAATCTGGCAAGTTAGTGTATGCATGTTTGAATGACTACATTTATGCTATTATGATGAAGAGCTTTCTCTGGCCTGAATAGCAATTGCAGAGAAAGACTGCATTTGTTTTTAATATCTGATAAATTGGCCCCAGGATCAAGTTCACCTAATAAAATAATAACTCAAGGAAATGCTTTATTTGGTACAGGGCACTAACCTATCATAATTAGTTATTATCAATAATATTAATCATCATAATTAAATAGGCCTTGGGGTCCCTGGGTAGTACAAATGGTTTGCACTCAATGTCTAACCTAAAGGTTGGTGATTTGCCACCCGGTGACACCACGGAAGAAAGTTCTGGCAATCTGCTTCCATAAAGATTATAGCCAAGAAAACTCTAAGGAGCAGTTCTATTCTGTAAAACATGGGGTTGCCACGAGTCGGGATTGACTCAATGGCAAGGGGTTTTTAGGCTTTAAGTAGGCTTTACACAGGTATGTTAGAGGTTATATCATTTCAACTAGATTATACGTTTCTTAAAGAGAGAGCACATCTTATTTCCTACTGTTGGCACCAAACCCAAAACCAAACCCGTTGCCATCGAGTCAACTCCAACTCATAGCGACGATATAGGACAGAGTAGAACTGCCTCATAGAGTTTCCTAGGCTGTAATCTTTATGGGAGCAGACTGCCACATCTTTCTCCTGCAGAGCAGGCTGATGGGTTTGAACCACCAGCCTTTCAGTTAGCAGTAGCCAAGCGCTTAACCACTGTGCCACCAGGGCTTACTGTAGGCACAGCATCTTGTATATAGTAGTTGCTCAAGAAAATATGTTTACATTATTATTCTCATCTTTGTACTTGCCAGGCATTTGAGCAACCAATCCTGTCTTTTAGCAGCAGGTTTGATGAGCCTGCTACCTGTGCCTCTGTCCCTGACATGGAAACCTCTATCCACTAACTTCTGGCAATAGCCAAAGAAGTCTGCAAATAAACATGTTGACCTAAAAAATAAGCCAGTACTTTGACCTTATACAAGTGCTGATATCATATTAACAATTTTTTTTCTCACCATATTCTTATTTCTTTCCCTTACCTAAGTCACAGACAACTGCCACAGACTGTAAAGTAAGGGATTAAAATAGGTAAATAGAGTGAGGAGGAGGCTGCCTTAGAAATAGTCTACTTTTGAATGTTTCTTCTCTAGAAACAAATTCCCCAGAAGGCCTTCCATTCAAGGAGAATCTGAACTTACAGATCAGAAATATCTAGTTTCTGCCTAAACATATGATTTTGGGGAGGCGGGTGAGGGGGTCAATCACTATAATTTACTTGGAAAGCTCCTTCCGATTCTAAGCCTGATCCAAAACTGGAAAAATGGTAGCGTCTAATACACCAAAATTCGGGACTCCCCACCCTTTCCACCTCTGGGGGCGGGGAGGAAGGGGAATCTTCGCTTTGTATTTACTCTCCACTTCTGGGATGGCCTAGTTCAGCAAGGAGAAAAAGCCTCACTGGGGTGTGCCAGACTGAGAAAAGTACTGTTCTCAGATGAAATCTGCGGTAGCCAGAGCAACGGATTTCCTCTTCTTCCCACCCGGACCCCACTGGCCTTAATACTTTCTGGGGGACTTCGAATCTCCGTCCTTGGCCCCGAGTAAACTAACAGGAGAGCCACTGGTCAGGAAGAGAGATGGAGAAAGTGGATCAGACCACGCGGCAGCGTTTCAGATGCAGGCTAACGCTGGCACGGATAGACGAGGAGTCTCGTGTTGACTCTGCGACCGGGACACCGCTGGCTTTGAATAAGAGCATTAAATATACAGCACTGTAGTTTGGTACCCGGCCCGGGCTCCGGTCTGTGGCACTCGGCCATCGCCTCTGCCCGCCAGGCTCTAGCCGGGTTGCCTGATCCTGGGGATGCCCATCCGTTTCCAGTCACACCTGTTAGGTGGCTCCGCGCTCCGCGTCTCCGCCCAGCAGCCGCCTCCCGCAAGGCCGGGGACCGGGTGCCAAGCGGGAGGAGGCAAGGCGGAGAAGCAGGGCTGGCCTTCCAGAGCTGAGCCCGTGGGAATCGGCGCTGGGGGCCAGACGGGCCGGGGGCTACTAAAGCGGGAGCGGCCAAGACTGCGGAGAGAGCTTGGGGAGGGGGCGCTGCGCTGGCGTTACGCTGCCAGAGCCTGCCGCACAAGCGGTGGGGCTGAGCCGCGAGGGATGGGGTTTGTACCAACCTCCGCCTTTCTCCCCGCAGCCACGGCGCCGCCTCCCCTCGCCGGCCCGCGGCGCCTATTAGGCCGCGCAGGGTGAGCGCCTCGCCCGAGACTGGAGAGACAGGCGCGCGGGGCCGCGGAGGGGGTACTCCACGAGCCCGGCGGCCCGCGCGTCCCCCGAGCTGGCCAGCTCC